GTTATAGACAGGTGGTAGTTATAGACAGGGATAGTTATAGACAGGTGGTAGTTATAAACATGTGGTAATTTCAGACAGTGGTCGTTATATGGAGGTGGTAGTTATAGACAGTGGTAGCTATAGACAGGTGATCATTATATACAGGTGGTAGCTATAGACATGTGGTTGTTACAGACTGGTGGTCATTATAGACATTGGTTGTTATAGACAGGTGTTCGTTATAGACAGGTGATAGTCACTAAGTATATAGGTAATATAGAGGTTCCAAGCTATCGACATGTTTTAAGATACACTTTACCTTGGATTATCCCGCCATTTTACTCTGACGAAATTGAAACCAACATTACAGAAGTATACCAATCATTTTATAGACTCAATTAATGTTGTTTCTATTTATAGAGACTCAATTAATGTTGTTTCTATTTATAGATCTTTAGGGTTTTATTTTTCACACAATTACAGGTTATTTTGGTTATTTTACAATAAACATTTCGGAAACAACATAAATCTTGATTTGCAGAAAAGGAACAAACCCTTATCATGTTGTACCTTGTAATGAAACGAAAGATAGAGATACAAAAAGTAACAAACCCTTATCATGTTGTATCTTGTAATGAAACGAAAGATAGAGATACAAAAAGGAACAAACCCTTATCATGTTGTGCCTTGTAATGAAACGAAAGATAGAGATACAAAAAGGAACAAACCCTTATCATGTTGTACCTTGTAACAAAACGAAAGATAGAGATACAAAAGTGATGACCTGGCGATGTGAAAACGTTTATCATTCCAAAATCCCATCTATTTTGATAATCACATGAACATCAAACACCTATCTGTCCCTATGATGGCGGTGACAGCTACATCATTTACCAAGCCCGAAATATCATCGGAAACAAAAAGTCGATTTTTGTTGCCGATGGCGTTCATATTGCTTTCAAGATAACACATAATAATTGATTGAACGTTCAATTAGCAATAAGAGCTAAACAAATCATTATTATTAATATGATTGCTAAATACACAAGAAGAGAATACGTCGGCTAACTAGGTAGGTATGTAATACAGCTGGTTTGCATGCAATACAAATGACCAAAAACTCAGGTCGATTTACTTCAAACCTATATAAATATACTAACTTTAGTACGTAAATAAGATTGGTTTTGATGCGCTACAAACAGCAATAATTGTTGGCATAAAACGTAGGTTGATCGCTCAGCTATAGCTCTAACTATAGACGACGCTGCACAGTTACACAAATCAGTGAGAAACATAAACCCATAATTAGCCTGACTCACTGCTAAGGAAGTAAAAGTGAGGATACAGATTGACCTGGAAGCACTGCAACAGGTCGTCAATTACTGTAAGCATCTTGTTTATAAACAGAACACATTAATACAGATCAGAGGACCAACCTTCACACACACATATATATCTATATCTATATAGGTTGCTGACCTGATTTTAAATGTCACGTTATAACGTAGATGGGGGACCCGGTGTAGTTGGCGCCAACACTGAGAGGTCAGTTACAGATGACACAGAAACATCCAGGAAGGATAAAAGTGTATGCAGTCCATAGCCACAGGGGAGGCGACACACGGTATTCTGTGTGTCTGTATATATCTATAGGGGAGGCGACACACGGTATTCTGTGTGTCTGTATATATCTATAGGGGAGGCGACACACGATATTCAGTGTGTCTGTGTGTGTCTGTATATATCTATAGGGGAGGCGACACATTGTATTCTGTGGGTCTGTATATATATCTATAGGGGATGCGACACATGGTATTCTGTGTGTCTGTATATATATATATATATAGGGGAGGCGACACATGGTATTCTGTGTGTCTGTGTATATATCTATAGGGGAGGCGACATATGGTATTCTGTGGGTCTGTATATATCTATAGGGGAGGCGACACACGATATTCAGTGGGTCTGTGTGTGTCTGTATATATCTATAGGGGAGGGGACACACGGTATTCTGTGTGTCTGTATATATCTAGTGGGGGGGCGACACACGATATTCAGTGTGTCTTTGTGTGTCTGTATATATCTATAGGGGAGGGGACACACGGTATTCTGTGTGTCTGTATATATCTAGTGGGGGGGCGACACACGATATTCAGTGTGTCTTTGTGTGTCTGTATATATCTATAGGGGAGGCGGCACACGATATTCAGTGTGTCTGTGTGTGTCTGTATATATCTATCGGGGAGGCGACACACGGTATTCTGTGTGTCTGTGTATATATCTATAGGGGAGGCGACCCATGGTATTCTGTGGGTCTGTGTATATATATATAGGGGAGGCGACACATGGTATTCTGTGTGTCTGTGTATATATCTATAGGGGAGGCGACACATGATATTCAGTGTGTCTGTGTGTGTCTGTATATATCTATAGGGGAGGCGACACATGGTATTCTGTGGGTCTGTATATATCTATATCTATAGGGAATGCGATACACGGTATTCTGTGGGTCTGTGTGGGTCTGTATATATATCTATAAGGAAGTATTCAATCTGAAACAGTCCAATCCTCATCCTATACAACTTGTGTGTATTCTGTTTGGAACCCTCGGTCTATACAACGTGTTGTGTATTCTATCTGAATTGATATGTTACCCTTGGCCTATGCAACGTGTTGTGTATTCTATCTGAATTCATGTTACCCTTGGCCTTTACAACGTATTGTGTATTCTATCTGAATTGATGTTACCCGTGGCCTATACAACGTACTGTATTTTCTATCTGAATTGATGTTACCGTTGGCCTATACAACGTGTTGTGTATTCTATCCGTATTGCTGTTACCATTGGCCTATACAACGTGTTGTGTATTCTATCTGTATTGATGTAATCCTTGGCCTATACAACGTGTTGTGTATTCTATCCGTATTGATGTTACCCTTGGCCTATACAATTGGTGTATATTACATATCCGAATATGTTATGTGTTCATTTTTGTCCATCGTCTCTTTAGCTGATGCTTCTATCTGTCAAAACCTACTACCATCTTTCCCACAAGCACGTTTTCCATACAAAAATAAATGTAAAACACTGTTTACATTTCATTGTCGTGTTACAGTATGCCTGATATCCCAGTAAGTGATCCTCAAAATCCTAACGATCAGGCTGTTGTTGCAAGTCACTGTGTTTTACCTCCATTCGAATGAACACTAATGCAATAATGCAAAAAAAGGGAATTCCAGAGAGGAATTAATTTCAAATTATACTGGTGAACCCTAAGTCATTGATCAGATCACGAGGTCGTCAATGTACACCCGGATCTACGTGAAGATTGTACGTATGATATTGTACATAGAATAATTGAAACTGTAAATAAATCATTGTCTATCTTGTTAGGTTCAGAACTGACAACCCTTCTTAAAAGGAAACACTGGTTTCGTATCTTACGTGGAAACCTAAATAAACATGGCAATTGAACCTTGAGTTTCCGAAGAATGGCAATGTAATCAGTAGTATTATATCTCTACCCCAGCCTCACAAAGATTCCTCCGAAAGAACACAATTGCTGTTATCAAAGTTCAAAAAGACTGCCTAACACAGTTTCCAAATCTCACCCAAATAACAGAGAACACTGTTACAAAACGTCCAGTCAGACTCCCAGAAGAGACATTGTTACTGTACCAATACAAAACGTCCAGTCAGACTCCCAGAAAAGACATTGTTACTATACCAATACAAAACGTTTAGTCAGACTCCCAGAAGAGACATTGTTACTGTACCAATACAAAAAGATCAGACATTCTTGAATGAACATTGTAACTAAACTTTAACTTCAGACTACCCAAAGGAAACATTGTAACTGTACCAAAAGCTGAGACAGACTTCCCAGATGAGGCATTGTAACTGTCCCAAAAGCTCAGACAAAATCCCCAGAAGAGGTATTGTAACTGTACCAAAAGCTCAGACAAAATCCCCAGCAGAGGGATTGTAACTGTACCAAAAGCTGAGACAGACTACCCAAAGGAAACATTGTAACTGTACCAAAAGCTGACACAGACTTCCCAGATGAGGCATTGTAACTGTACCAAAAGCTCAGACAAAATCCCCAGCAGAGGTATTGTAACTGTACCAAAAGCTGAGACAGACTTCCCAGATGAGGCATTGTTACTGTACCAAAAGCTCAGTCTGACTTCCCAGAAGAGACTTTGTAATTATGTTGAATGCTCATACTCCACAGAAGAGGATCATTGTAACTGGACCAAAAGCTCAGACAGACTTCCAAGAAAGGGCTTAGTATCTGTACCAAAAGCTCAGACAGACTTCCAAGAAAGGGCTTAGTATCTGTACCAAAAGCTCAGACAGACTTCCAAGAAAGGGCTTAGTATCTGTACCGAAAGAAGCATTGTAACTATATTAAAAGCGCAGTCTTCCCAGAAGGATCATTGTGAGTATACCCAAAACTCAGACTGACTCTAAAAAACATCCTCGAGGGACACAGAATGTATCCAAACCTGGAAGGACAGACGCCTTCTTTACTTAACTTCAAAGATACCGTTCACAACAGCGAATTGGAACCTTAGACTTGTCAAGTGGATCCGTATGATTTTATACGTTGCTGACCATGTTATCCAATGGCCAGTCCCTCAAAGTTCTAGCACAATCATCCCGAAGTCAGTGTCATCACAGACTCGAGGTGTCGTTATAACCATAGGAATACCCCGTGTATAAGGCCTGCTGTAGCCAATAAACACTCTAACGTACAACTAACAATCCAACAGTCAATATATACATGTAGCAGGGCTTGCAGGACAAACAACACGTAGAAAGGCACACGCATATACACATATGCTGCATGTACATGTTACACAAGGGAGTAACAACTGGTATCATTGTGTACGGTGGTTTGGTTATATGTATACATATACCAAAGGTTTTAGACCAAATCGTCGAAACTGGAATATCCCCATCCTAAGTGTAGCATAAATATGATAATTACAGGTATTTCTATGACGTAACGACTTACCTGCGGGATCTTGTCCTGAGGTTCAATCTAGATAAGGGTGGAGCATTCACCCCAGGGACGGAAAAAGCCTCCACCCGTCGACCCGGGGGGTCAGGGGCGGAATAATCGGCATTAGCCGTTTGATTGATGGGTTTTAATCCGGGCCGAACATAAGTCGTACTTTCCGAATCGAACGGTACACAATTCCCAAACTGAAAATCCGATTGTGGATCGGCCATACTTCCTGCTTTATATTTCCGATAGTAAATCCAAAGGATATCATATGCAGATCCCGCTGCACAGTTAGATCACAGAACACGAAAATCGTACATTTGTATATTACATAGCCAGATGCGGTATATTTATTCCACCATAACACCAGAATATACGATCATGTTGTTTACCATCAGTGTGTGTGTGTATACTAAACCCTGGTACTATACCAGCCTAGATCTCTCGCATGTGTTAGTTTAAATATAACCTACAGTATTTGTCAACAGCCAATCAAGGAGCCTGTTACATCCGGCTGTCGGCAGAGAACAAAGAGAACGAACTGCTGTTTGCAAAAGTGATTTTGATTGGTGCACATTCACCCTTAGCACGTGGCAATACACAGAAATAGCGATCGTAAGCTCAACAGCAAAATGACCTTGCCCTTTTATAACGCCAAGCTTTATTGCGTAGCAAAACGTGTTCATCCAGAATACTTGAAATGTGCCCAGTTTTATTTAAAGGTTTCAGGTTGTACGGTCTCCATGGCCTCAGTGATATCGCTACTCTATCCATCAGAAGCTACTGTATTGGTAAATGTAGCACCGAGGTCGGGAGACGACTCACGGTCCACAGAACTGTGCCGGGGTTATTTATCAACATGTAGTACTGTTCGACAATATAAATCAATCAGCGAGCAGGAAGGTGGTTTCTGGTACACTCGTTCTAGGGGAGCATGTGTAGATAGTGTGCTGACTGCCCTCGGTATGTGTATGAGCACAGAGCGATGTGTGTGTAGATACATATCGCTCTGAGCGCTTACTAAATAACATGGATTTAAACAAGGCCACAGTCTTGAATATCTCATAGAAAATGTTGTAGGGCTAGCCATAGAAGATTTGTTCTTCATCTGTTCTGCGTTAACTGATGATCTCAATAAAACGTTACTTGATGCAAAATATAAACCAGAAAAACATGATTTGGTAATCCATTGAGCAGGAAGGTCCATTCAAACACGAATATATTAAACATCGCTAGGGTAGCTTTAAGTTGGCTTCAAGACATCGGTGTCCCGCTTTATTGTATCATTCTCTAAACAATAGCAAAACAATATGAACATTTTAACAGTATATCCTGCTGCACTGTATATCAATGTGGTACGCTGTGTGGTGATAGGTGGTATGACATTTATCACTGATAGTATAGATCGTTATGTAACTCATTGTAAAAATCTGAAAGATTATAATGAAAGTCATTGTATATTAATGCAACCAACTGTATTATACTGTGCTATCTGTACTTATAGTGTAGGGCATTATATTATACTGTGCTATCAGTACTTATAGTGTAGAGCATTATATTTTACTGTGCTGTCAGTACTTATAGTGTAGGACATCATATTATACTGTGCTATCAGTACTTATAGTGTAGGACATTATATTATACTGTGCTGTCAGTACTTATAGTGTAGGACATTATATTATACTGTGCTGTCGGTACTTATAGTGTAGGACATTATATTATACTGTGCTGACAGTACTTATAGTGTAGGACATTT